AAAAAGAAAGAATAAAAGTGTTTGACTTAAGGAGCCAAATTAATTAACCAATGCTTAATGACCTAACGAACCAGTCACTTTTCTTAATTTTCCGGTACGACTTGTGACGGCGACGCTGAAAACGATTGAAGTACACGCGCGGGGTCCTCCAGCCTAATTGCCACCTGTACACCAGCCCTGCCCGTCGTTACAATTGACGTAACTATAAAAATCTCATTTTCCTTTTTTATTTTATTTCTAATCAAAAAAAAATAAAAGAAACGGCAAAAATTTATACTGAAATCTTTTTTCTTCCTTATTCTCTCATTCCGCTTGATTTCGCCGTCCGATTATCTCAAGCGCCGATAAAATCCGGCGGCACTCACTAGATCTTGAAACCATAGTTTGTTTCTTGCTCAAGATTCTTGAGGATTCTCTATAACTAGTTTCGAAGTTGATCGCTCTTTGGTTTGAGTCCTCGATTCTCGACGGTGATTGAATTCTTCTCTTACTTTCTTTTTTTTGGTTGTTTAAGTTCGCTGTATCAATCGCGACGTTTTTGTGATTCGCATTGCGTCTGGAGTTGATCATGTACCGATTGGTTTCTTATTGATTCGATTGCTGATGAAGTTATCTGGTTTTGCATTTGATTGTTCGCAGGATGGCGATTCTGAGGTGAATCTGAGGAGCGAGAAAAGAGAAATCGAGAGATGGATGATAGAGAAGGCTCGTTCGTAGCTGTCAGGCGGATTTCTCAGGGTCTCGAACGAGGGAGCGTTTACAATTCATCATCTGGTAATTTCCATCCTCTCTTAGTATCAAAGCTTATCTCTCTACAATGGTGGTTGCATTTTTTCTGTCTTTTGGGTGAAATTTGTACTAATGCGTTTTCTGTGAGCATTGCTTGGTTTCTGGATTCTCTGCTATTGATGTTTTTTTTTTTCAGCTTGTCTCTAGAATTAGAGTACTAATGCACTTATTAGTACTTAACTTGGATTCCAGTTTTTTGTCAAGGAGAATGATGTTAAACCCTTAGTATTTGGTAGATTTCGTAGTATACTTGTCTATAAGCTTTGTTTCTGTGTGCTTTTATAGAATTGTGATGCTTATAGGGAGTTTTATGGATTGGAAATTTAGATTAGTTAATGAAACCATTGAAGTTTATTTGTTTTGTTATAGCTGAGGCTGTGCCTGGATCAGCAGCTTGGTTAGGCCGGGGTCTTTCTTGTGTTTGTGCTCAGAGAAGAGATAGTGACGCAAATTCTACGTTTGATCTAACACCTGCTCAGGTATTCAGTTTTCCACTGTTCGAGTTGGAAGTTTATATTTTATTATTTCCTACATTAAGATAACGTTTCTGTCCTCGCTATATTAGCTGGCTACTTCTAAGCGTATCCAGGTATACTTATACCCTATTGTTGGGACATGCAGGAGGAATCCTTGCAGAACTTGCAGAACCGCATTGACGTAGCTTATGATAGCACAATACCCTTGCATCAGGTACAACTTCCTTGCGGGTTTATAAGCCTTTAGAATTTCTCATTAAAACAGTTGACTTAAACCATCATTTGGACATGGTAGAATACTGCATCTTTTCATCCCTTGGCTTTTTTACTATTAGCTAGCATCATAAATTCAAATGTACCAGCTTTGATGATTACTTTGTTGCTTCGTCATACGGTCTTAGGAAGCGCTGAGGGATCTGTGGAAACTTGCCTTTCCTGAAGAAGAGCTTCATGGATTAATATCTGAGCAGTGGAAAGAGATGGGTTGGCAGGGCAAAGATCCGTCAACAGATTTTAGGTATAACACTGACTTTCCTCTTCATTTGTGTTATAGTTATTTCTTGTATCTATTTTCTCTTTGACTTACAATGCATCATCTGGCAGGGGTGGTGGTCTCATATCTCTTGAAAACTTGCTGTACTTTGCTAGGAACTTTCAGGTATACCTATATACTACATATACAAATGTTTTATGAAAAGAATGAGCTGCCTTTCCTTTATAACTTTTACTTTCCATGCACCATATATTATCGATTACTCATTGGCACTGCTTCACTTGTATATATATATATATGTATTCATGCGTAAAGTCACGTATGATTTATACCCGATAACTCATTTGTTACAGTTGTTCATGACTTTACATCTTAGTTCTTGCTGATCTACTTTTGTCACTTAGTTCAAACGCCACGTGTCTTTATGCTGCAGAAATCCTTCCAGGACCTTCTGAGGAAACAGGTTGGGGATCGGTCTGTGTGGGAATACCCCTTTGCTGTTGCTGGTATCAACTTAACATTCATGCTCATCCAAATGCTTGACCTTGAAGCAGGTATACATCCACATGAATTTACTTACCTACCATGATTCATGATCGTGATAGTTGCTATTTACCTACCATGATTCATGATTGTGATAGTTGCTATTTACATCTGAAGCCATAGGATTGGGAAGCCCATAACTACTATAGAATCTTCTTGCATGCATTAGGCAGCTGTCTCGTATTGTTCATAGTCTGTCATTCTGATAATGAGTAATGTATTGAGGTAATCAATGGGTTCTCTGACAACTTATCCTTTTAAAATTTACAGTGAAACCACGAACAATTGTTGGGGCAACTTTTCTGAAGTTTCTTTCTGGTAATCTCTCACTTATGCTGTTTTGTTTTCATCAAATTGAAAAGCCTTTTTATTACACATGGTCCTTTAATCTGATTTTGACACTGAATGTGTTGGGTGTTTGTGTAAGCAGAGAACGAATCTGCATTTGACCTTCTTTATTGCATTGCATTCAAGCTAATGGATCAGCAATGGCTTTCAATGCGCGCCTCATACATGGAGTTTAACGTAAGTAGTAGTCGTTACAAAACAGAGATGTTTGGTCATATATACATACATACCCAGATGCCATGTTGATGCTTTGTCTTGGAATATTTGGATGACACAGACGGTGATGAAATCAACAAGGAGACAGTTGGAGAGAGAGCTGATGCTGGAAGACATAATGCATCTTGAGGACTTACCCTCCTACGCTCTTCTCAATCAATAGCCCTTACGATAATAATAAATAGCAAGAAGAGTTTCTAACCTCAGAATAACACAAGGCTGCGCTGTTTCTGCCTCTTTCTTTGACCTTTTCTTGTGTTTGGTGGTTCTACTTCTAAGTAACAACTCCAAAACCGAGTTGTTACTTGTTATATTAAAACAAGAAATAGAGTGTGAAAGAGAGAGAGAGGTTGGGATAAATCTCAATTTGGTTTGGTTGCAAATGAGTGTGTAGCTGAAATGGGTTTGTTTTCTAACAACGTTGAGGTTTTTTAGTTACTGTGTGAGTGATTGATGTTAGTGTGTGGGGGATAATAATGATTTGGTGATGTCCACAAATTCAAAAGCAGTCACTGTTAAAGGACTCTTAACAGGGGTTAAAACTTCATTTGTTTGTGTATTAAAAGTTGTTTTGATTGTTTATTGCTGTGAATATTTGTGCGTGGATAACAGCAGAGATGGCCTTTACAAGCAGTCAACAGAATTATTCGATAGCAACAAAATTATTAGATCTACAAGCCTACTACAATCAACTCGCTTATAGTCTAGATTCTTCTTACACTCGTGACTAACTGATAGATAATTTGATATTATCAGAAAACTGATTAGCTGTCACTAATCTGTTAAATTCACTTAATTTACACAATAATCATGTCGAATACGAATGGCTGACTGGCTCACACAAAAGCAAAAACTGGCTCTAACCCTTAATTCATTATCCATACATTGCAAGCCAACACCAACGACTTCCCGACCACCACGTAGCTTATTAGTCCGCTTGATGCATCATTTGTGTGGAGGTGGTGGGGGTGGCGTGGTTGACCCTGAATCGGCTTCGTGTGTTCCATCAGCCGGCGGCGATTCTGGGGTGGGAGGAGAGGAAGGGGAGGCTACGACCGTAATGGCTAGCTTCATGCCACCTAGACAGTTACCAGGTGTAGAACAGATGAAATACTTTGGTTCTACTGTCTTCAGATCGATTTTGGTGTCTCCTTCGGAGTGGTTCTCAGTCGCGGAGGAGGAGTCGCAGCCATCATATCCGGCTTTGTTAACCACGTCCACCGAATATGTACAGGCCCGTACTTGAACTCTGTTTCATTCTTGTGCAATAAGTTATAATATATACTAGTTAAAAAGAAACAGAGTTTTCTTGTGCAATAAGTTATAATATATACTAGTTAAAAAGAAACAGAGTTTTCTTGTGCAATAAGTTATAATATATACTAGAGTATCACCAATCCTGAAAGTCTTTCCCGCAGCCCGATCTGTATAGTCCACGCCACTGGCCCATTGAGCAACGTCTCCTACCTTGTAAGTCACAGCGACTACAGCTGCAACCATCTTGGGCAAAACAATTCATTGCCATGTTTTGGTTTGAATGTGGAGAGATATCTTAATTGAAGATGGTTAATAAGAGGTGGAAAGATGGTGATGGTTTATATAACAAATGTAGGCGTGAGAATCGACTAATGAGAAATTAAGCTTAATTAAGGGAATGTGTGAAAAGTCGCGTAGTTTGAGTGATGTCCTAAAGGACACTCTTGATTAGGGGTCAAATTCCATTGGCATTGCTAGGCCTGGGCATTTGGGTATTCGGGTCGGGTTCGGGTCGGGTCTTTCGGGTTCGGGTTTTTCGGGTTTAGAAATTTTGGACCCGTTGGGTTATATGTACAATTTTGGGTCGGATTCACTTCGGGTCCGGGTAATTCGGGTATTGGTTAAAGAACCCATAAATAACCAAAACTATTTCGGGTTTGAGTACTACTTACTCAAACTTTGTCCAAATATACCCAAACATACATAAAAGTACCCATAAAACCCGAAAGATCTGAAATTATAACAAGTTGTTCCTTAAGACAATAATATAAAACAAGAAGTAAACTTTGTTTAGAGTTTGTTCCATAACTTAAATCATTAAACAAGTCACATATTCAAGTTATTAGTGTATATATGTCCTCATATGTGTATATTATGTTCGGGTAATAAAAAGTACTCACGGGTATCGGGTTCGGTTCGGGTAATACCCGATACCCACAGTTATTTGAAAACAGAACCCGATCGGGTAATTAGCCGGAACCGAAGTAGAACGGGTTCGGGTATTTCGGGTCGGGTTCGGTTCGGTTCTTCGGGTTCGGGTATTATGCTTAGTCCTAGGCATTGCCTTGTGGTTTGTGTTCTACACATCTTTTCTCATGTGTTTAAAATTTGGATACGGATTAAAGCTGTGATTGACCAAGTACTTGAATTTGGTCATGCAAAGTTCTAATTTCTTTTTGCTAATCATATTTATTGACATGAAAACTCCACATAAACAAGAGATCACTTGTTCTTGGAATGCTCTTTCACTCGGGTAATCTGGGACAAGATTCTGTCCAGGCTTGGTTTGCCTTCGCAACCTGGGATTCTCTGCTTCAATGGACAAAGGCTCAGACCAGTTCCTCTCCTCCTACGCTTCGTCTTATAATTCTCCATGCCTTGGTCTACTCGGTTTGGAGGCAGAGGAACAATCTAATCCATAATCAGATTTCGATCCCTCCGCTTAACATCTTCAGAGATATTGACCGGCAGATTATCAATACCATCACAGCCAGAAGGCATATGAAGAAGTTTCGTAATCTTATGGGGCTCTGGTTGTACTAAGGGTCTCTTGTTTGTCTTCTAAATCGTTACTGCTAGAATTTGTGGTTTGTGCTTTGTTTTCTATTCCTTTTTTGCCAAAACCCAAAGTATATAGGCCTTGTTTGTAATGCTTACCTTTCATTTTAATGATATTTACTCATTTCGCAAAAAAAAGAAAACTCCACATAAAAAATCCAATGCTACCGTGTCTCTTTTTTAGCTTCTCATGTCTTTTTTTATTTTATTTTTTATTTTACATAATATAAAGTCTTTAACAATATTTTTGTTAGAAGAAAAAAACGAACACCTAATTTTGCCATCAATATGAGGTTTCGACTTTTATGAGTTCGGCCCAAAATTGTTCAAATAACCATTAAAATAATAATTGCAATATACACATATCTAGAGTTTTAAAGTTAAAAGCTACAGATTGACAAAAAAAAAAAAAAAGTTAAAAGCTACAGCTAATCGAATACTACCTATCCCAAGTTGCATTTGTTTATATATCTTTTAAATCATTGACAACTACAGTTTGAATATATGCATTGCTAAATGCTAACAATCATTTCTTTTACGAATTGATCATTTCTCTTGGTTGTTGATTGAGCTTATTACATAATTCATTCTTGATAACATATATATTAAAATTAAACTAACTAATCTACACAATATATATAGTCAATTGTAAACTATGAGGGGATGGTGGATCACAACTGTACATGTGGTTCCACACGAACGAAAAATGAAAGGAAAAATTAAGTAATAATTTATTACAACAATAAGTGAGTAATGTGATGATGATAACGATAATCAAATGCCGAATAATAAAATCCTACGAATAATGAAGAGCTTCTGACGTATCACACATACCCAAATTCTCTTACAACCAAAGACCAAAATAATTTAAAAAGCAAAAGCACTGACTCCACCCTGGCTCACTAAACCAATTACATCCACAAAGCATAACCCAAAACCATCGAGACTCCGACCAAAACGTAACTCATCACTCCCTTTGACGCACCACTTGGCTTTGGTGGAGGAGGAGAAGTTGACCCTGAATCAGGTGTGGGTGTGGTGGGTGATCCGCCAGCCGGAGGTGAGTCCGGTGTGGTAGGAGTTCCCGGAGTTGTAGACGGGGGCGTGGGAGTGGCCGGAGGTCCGGCAGAGGCGGCTAAGACAGTAACGGCTAGCTTCATGCCATTGGCACAATGACCAGGTGTAGGACAGATGAAATACTTTATTCCTACTGTCTTAAGATCGATTTTGGTGTCTCCATCGTTCCTACTGTCTTAAGATCGATTTTGGTGTCTCCATCGGAATGGTTCCGGCTTTGTCAACCTCAGCCATCATATCCGGCTTTGTCAACCTCATCCACCGAGTGTGATCGACCATACTTGAACTCTGTTTCAAATCGCCATAAAAAGAATTCAAAACCTAAGTAAATAGTTATGCCATACCTAAGAAGATTATGGGACAATAGTCCGAAATTATTTGGTTACTAAAAATGAGTTTTGTTGTAGAATAAGTTATCTCAATTTCAACATCGTATAAATTTGTAAAGAACTAAAACAAGTAAAGAATTGTTTCTTGTCTTCTTCTTTTTTTTTTAACTGTTTCTATATTTAAGAACCTGAGACCAAATAAACAAAAAAAATCACACATATTTTCCTTTTTTTTTTGGTATTACTAAAGCAAACTTAATATAATTTGAATCACCAAAACCAATACCGTGTCAAACTACACTTGGGTTCGACTACGTTACTACAACTTTTGAACTATAGCTTGAATGAATCTATATATAAATAAAAGTTATAACTAATGTGGTTCGGATGATGGTTTACCTAGAATGTCACCAACCCTGAAAGTCTTTCCGGCAACCCAAACTGTGTAGTCCACACCACTGTCCCATTGTTGACCGTCTCCCACCGTGTAAGTCACAGCTACTGTGGCCGGGACAATGGTCAGGACTAGGAGAAGAGCAGTTGCGGCGGCTGCAGCCATCTTGGACAAACCATTCATTGCCATTTTTTTACTTAGAAGAGAGATATTATTATTGTTAAGGTTGTGCAGAGAAGAAATGGTTATGGTGTCATTATATAACAAAGAGATGTGAGAAGGACTTTGGGAATTAAGTAAATGGAATGTATGAAAAAGTCGCCGCCTCGCCAACTCATTCAACAACTTCATCCTCACTTTTTATTTTTCGTTTTAATTTTTTATTCATTTCTTTTGTTTTAATACGTTGTCATGATGCGTAACAACTCTTTGTTCTTATACATTTAAACTAAAAAAAATGGATAATTAATCGTATAGCTCGATGGCTTTCTTTGATGTAAATTATATAAACCCATCACCCTTATGAGTTATGCGTGGATTCTTCTTATTTGGTTTTTTTACCGAAAAGTGTGCTGAGAACATGGGTTTGTTAATA